GAATCTGCATGCAGACTCCGCCTGGATGGAACTTAAAAATTAATGTACATATGTGTTAAAAAATTTCAATATCCTGTGGTGTGACCAGATACTTCTGGGCCCGTAACCTGGGGTTGTAACCCGAATGACCTCTGTTGCCCCTAAATTGCATTTTTTGTCAGTATATTGTATCACTAAAGCAGAAATAAAATTAGAACGGAAACAAAATTTGTTCATCCCCACACAGTTGCGGGGGCCCAGTACGATGTTTCAATCCACATTTACAATGTGTAATGATCAAACCAATGTAATTTGTATGTTCATCCACTCAAACTCTTACTATTTTTTTTTTTTTTTTATGCTGGGAACATTCAGACTCGCCTCTACCAGGCATTTGAAATACACAGTTTTGGTGTCAAATAGTAACCCTACCTTACTACCGAATGTTAGAGGCTCTTCCTGGGACTCATTCAGTATCCCCTCTTCTTCCTCCCCTGCCCCACACCCCTCCCAGCTGCTGCTCTCCCTAGTTAATCCTCTGCTTTTTATCAGATCAAAAAGTCCAGCTTCCACATACGAGGGCTTAGTTGTCTCTCTGTCAGACATGTGATTACACTTAACAATCTCTCCTCCAGGTCTAGCCGGATACAGATTTGGATGTACGTCCTGACTGACAAGCGTTTTCCAAATGCAGTGGCATCGGAAACTTCTGGGTGAGAGGCAGAAGGAGGTGAAGAGATGTGGAAATAGCAGCATGAGTCAGGGCTGAAGCCTGTGGATATATTTAGCCCACTTTGAGCAGCCTGGCTGGGAAGAAGAGGCATCTCCCATTTCGCATTCCCACCACACACCTCACGGCACACTGAATGGGTCAGAATGGTCCAAAGTGCATGAGTGGCTGGGACATGCGTATGTGTGCTGACTGGGAGAACCTTCCTTCCTTTCCTCCTTCCTTCCTTCCTTCCTTCCTGCCTGACTGCCTGCCTGCCTGCCTGCCTGCCTGACTGCCTGCCTGCCTGCCTGACTGCCTGCCATTGCACCATCATTAAGAAAACAAACACTCACACAAACGTGAATGCTGATGCCTCTCCTGTAGTCTAGCGAATGGGATCTATGATCAAACCATCCCCTTCTACTGGGTTTCCTAGCCTCCACACCATGGAACATCCCCAAGACTCAGGCTCAGAATCTGTAACCCCCTCCCCTCCCCTACCCCACAGACCCAACGAAGAAGGCTCAAGGACTGAGTGGAACCAGTTCAATTCCAGTAGCTTTCAGCCCTGTTTAAAGTGGTCATGGCATGCAGAGTAAGGCAATAGGATTTCTCCCCAATTGCTTCAATTTTCTGTAGTCTGGACACAGGCATGCGCACGCGTGAACACATACACACACACACACACACACACACACACACACACACGCGCGCGCGCGCGAACACACGCAAACACACACACATTTGAAAACACACACACGCAAACACATACAAACACACATACACATTTGAACACACACACACGCATACACATTTGGCTTTGACTTTGATCATTTCATTTCCTTGTTTTGAGAACAATTGAAAAAGCATTTGGTTTTTTTTTTTTTTTTCATGGCAAAATTGCCAATGAAGCAGAGATGGTATCCGTGGCTTCAGCACGTATGAGCTAAAGAAACGCTTTTAATTGCACAAAGCCATAGCAAAGCTAGGAGATCACATTTCCTGCTCACCTTTGCTTTAAAATGCCCACATTTGACAGTTCCCAATTATCATAGCAACACAAAACAGTAGACAGCTAAAAATGCACTTTGGCCTACTGGAAGGACTGAGAACTTAGGCTCCGAGGAAAAGGCAAACTTCCCGTGGGTCAAGATATGTTCTTGTCAAATAAATGCTCATACATGAGAGCAAGCAGTTACTTAGAGATCAATATAAATGGTCGGATACTAGATGGAGCGAGGGTATCTTTAGTTGTACTCGAATGCCATCTAGTGTTCATTATGAAAAGCAATACTCTGCTTCTATGCAGAGAGGATGGTGAGTCCCACACGGAAGATCTGGGACCTTTCTTCTGCTGAAAGCCACCAGAATTGAGCTGGTTCCACTCGATCCTTGAGCCTGCTTCATCCGGTCTATAGAGTGGTGTAGAGGAGATTCCGATACTGAGACTTGGGGACGTTCCTTGGTGTGGGAGCTGGGAAATCCAGCAGACCGCAGTATTTTTGGTCATAGTGCACGCTTACATAGCTGGAGAGCGAATCATCAACCAGCTTGAAAGACCTCCGTTCGCCGTCTCTGGGTGATGTTTCTACCCGCTAACAGCCACCAGAAGCGTCTGAAGTTTAAAGGATATTCTCTTTGTGTGTTTGTACATGTCGTGAAGGCCCAAGATATACCGTGCTGGCAAAAAGCTCTCAGCAACACAGTTCAGAGAAAGCTCACTACGCCGAGGAACGAAGTCACATTACAGTGTTTCTTGAGTGTGGGATGGGTTGGGAGATGGGAGAAGCCACAGGTGGCCTTAGGGGATCGCTGTAGCTCTTATCAGCAGCTTTGTGGATCACGCGGCCGTAAAGACCCAGGGTGGAAGGCACGAACCTTTGTTTGGGTCACTTGCCATCCAAAGACATATTGCCTTCTAAAATAATCTTTGGGAATACTGAGGGAATTACGACTCCATTTGGGAAATTGAACAGTGGCCACACCCCTAGCCCCGCCCACTCCTCCCCTCCCAGCTTTAGAGAAGACAGAGGGCAGCCTCTGGTATAGTTCAAGTGTGGTGGTGGTTTTGTTTTTGTTTTGTTGTTTTGACTCAGATGCCAACACATACTCATCTGGCTGGCAGGGGAAGCAGCAGCTGGGATGGGGGCTTCCCAGGCCACAGATGCTCAGTGGAGAGCCCTGACATCTCCCCTGGGTTGTTTGGGTAAAGAAAGCATGTAATGTTGCATAGCTGCCATTGTTAAGGCAAAACCCTTGCTTATTTCTGCAAAGAGCTGGCTGTCTCAGAGAGGTCTGTGACTTTCCCAAGCTCACAGAAATCCTAACAGTTGAGAGTTCAAAGTGAGGTTCTGTGGTGGGGTTCCTCAAGCTCACTATGAAGTTGAGGGTAACCTTGAACTCCTCTTCCTGTCTCCACCCCCTAAGTGCTTGGATTGCAGGTACACACAGCCGCGCCATTTGTGGAACACCAGAGATCCACCTCAGGGTGCGTGCAAGCTCACCATGCATTCCGAGGTATACCTGAACTGTATCCTCCCTCACCCCAGGACGGTTTAGGTGTCACTCCTTTACCAAATGGGCTCCTGCTGTGGTTTTCTCTTTCCTGAATGCATGCACGTGTGACTTGAATGAATATGACGCACATGTGTCTGTATAAACAGATGAAGCCAATAGCAGCCGGCCCTCTTTTTTCATCCTCTAAGTCCATGGCAAGCTGGGAATGGACCACCGGAGTCAGCTCAGTCCTTCTTGCCGCCATCTTCACAGATCAAAAGACAGCCCCAGGCAGCTGACCTCTAAGGCTCTTTCTATCTCTCGAAACAGGTTTGGAACACAGCTCTGGAGACAGGTGACTGTTTTTCCAGGTGTAGACTGTATAAATATTCCCTGATTTATAGCCAAGCAGAGTTTTTTGGGGGAGGAGGGATGCCAGCTTTTGGCCTGGGCACATTTTACAGGAAAGAAGAGCATGCACATGGCATGTGGCAGGTTCTCTGTTGTATGTTCAAACTTCAAACCCTTGAGGTCTTGTTGGCAGTCAGGTTTGCCTCAAGGGTCATAGTTCACTCCAAGCTCTAAAGCGCTGTTTGTGGGAGAGCCTTTTTGCTTTCAGAAAACTCTATCTGTATCACCCAGGACCAGTGAAGGGGTTCCTGAAGCGTCATGGAGGGTTATCAATCGGGACCCCTTGCCCAAAAGTTAATCAGTACTTTTATATGAGGGAGACGGAGCTCTGGACCCTTGCAGCTTCTCGGATTATGTACAGGGATGTTTTGCCACATTCTCCTGGAGTCCAGGGAGGCAAATTCGCATAGGTACTGGCCAGGGAATGGTCTACAATGCATGGGTTTGGGGGAATTGACAAGTGTGGCTAACCCTAGTCATGTAAGGTGAGGGCTAGACTCAAGCTCACTTGTGAGGATGTGTGGGGCACAAAAGCCGGCTTAAGGTTACTTCTCTGAAACAGGCAAAATGTTTAAATGTCTTTTATTTCAAGAAATCTTGCTTCCAGACTTTCCTGCAGCCAGAATTGTTCTATAAAAGTATCATAGAGCATTACATATGATTAAATCCCATAGGATGCTTCCTAATATCTTGAAGCTCTCTTTACAAAACACGTCATTCAAGACCATAAATAGGTTTCTCCTGTCAGTCACAGCTGCCGGCCTATGCACAGACTCCGTGAGACTCAGAATTACCAAGGGTTCAACTATACCACATGGAATTCTCTTTAAAAAAAAAAAGTGTTTACCTTAAACACTCGAAGAAAACAATTTATCTACATGCTTGAATTATCTAAAAGCGAAAGGAAAGCCACCGTCAAAGCTAAGCAGCAAGTAGATCTTGGGAAGTTGAAGAAGGGAACGCAAATTCTCAGTGAGGTACTCCTTCAACTGGTCTCTGAAAGTCTGAGAGAAACAGGGTGATATCAAGAATACAGATTTTTAAAAACAGTTTTGAACCACGTCTTTTAGAAAAACCAGAGCTTGGTGATAGTTTTAAAAATATTCACACATTGCAATGTTTACAAAGCAAATCTCTCTACGGGTGTGTTTAAATTTAACAACAGTTGTGATTTTAGTTTATTAAAATTTGTCTTGTAAAAAGTCAAAACTACACATATGTCCCCAATGCTTAAACTTTTTTTTTTTTTTACCAAAAAAAGATTAAAATAAAATGGGCTTTATCCTGTCCTTTCTTTTACAATTTAGCAGTATTGAGCATATAGTAAGCACACACACAGAGAGAAAGAGAGAGCGAGGAGGTAATTTTTGTCTTGTTTATTACTTATTCACTCATTTAAAAAAATTTTTTTTTACCACCAACATTGTGAGCCATGCCTTTCTGCTAAACAATTTTAGCACGTCAAGGGATAAAATACATGCAATGTTTTCTGGGAAAAAAGCATACATTAAACAATATGTGATCCATACTGTGCGTCATCGCTGGGGGTCTATTCCTTTGTCCCATCTAGGACAAACAGTGTGATAAGCCCATTTTGAAAAGAAATAATAACACTACCAACCAAGCAGACACAGTATTTCAAACTCAAAGTGCAAAATCACTGAACCAAAGATGACGATGTTGAATAATTCCAGTGGTTAGAAATGAATCCAAACTTCATTATGCAGGCAGGGAAGATATATTGACAGATTCACCAAGGGCATCAAGCTTTCAAAACTTACAAAGGCACAATTCTAGCCATTTCGACTGGATAGACTTTATATACGAACATCCCTACAATATTCAAAAGATAATACTGTTTTAGTACCAAAAAACAAAGCAACAAAACAGAAAATGCCCCCCACCTTCCTCTTCTTGGGAAAACAGTGAATTTCAACGAGTCCATGTGTGAGCATCACCCACCCACACACGTGTGCACGAATTTCTACTGTGCAAATGTTCCCAGGGGAGCTCAGAATGTTGGCAGTTACGATTGCCACCACTAGTTTACTAATACAAATGTAGAAAGGTTTAGGCAACATTTTATCTAGTCAGAGGTGAGTGGAGAGGAGGCACTGCCTTCTAGATTGAGTATCCATTCCTTTGTGTCGTCCTTCTGCATCTTGGTCAATGTTGTCTCTGTGTGGCTGGAGTGAGTAGGCTGCTCCACACCGGACACGCTGAACACATGATGAACATGAGGATGCAGCTGCTCTTCAAACCCGTCCTCTTCCGGCTCCTCATCCTGGTGACGTTCTCGGTGATGCTGGCTGATGGGCTGCAGCCTGCGATGAGACCAGAGCACCAGCTCTGTCACGACATTGCCACTGACGTCACCTTCAAGATGGTGGCTCTCCTCCCATCCAATCAGCTCTTTAGTTTCACTCTTTCTCCAGTGTTCAGAATTCAAATGATTCGCTTCTGGAATGTCATTGTTCCGTTCAAGTTTTCTCGCTGGACTTAAAGTTGGTCTGTTCAAATACAGGGTGTGGAGGTTGGCTGGCAAGGTCAACGGAGGTGTTTCCCCAACCACGTGACTTGGGTCTTCACCTGACTCTGCAGAGGCCATTTCTGTTGACACCAAGAGCTCGGCAGAGGCGACTGGGAAGCCTCCGCTTTGAGCAGTTGGAGTCCCATCTGCTTTGTTTTGGTCAGAGTGACTGTTCGGCAGTGCGAGTGTTCTATCTACAGCCTTCAGGGGACTAGTCCAGTGTTCCAGACTCAGTCTAGGGTTAAGTCTGTACTCATCAGGGTTACCATTCCCACTGGATAACTCCTCCAGGCCTTGCCAGTTGGTGTCTGAAGCAACGCTGGGCCGACTAACCTTCCCATCCATCCCATAATTGTCCTCTGTGAAAAGAGAAGCCAAGGGACTTCATTAGCACAACCAAATGTTGTTGGCTCAGCTGGACGAGCAATGCAATTATTTTATAAATCGACATGAAATATAATAACGAAAAGTATTCTCTCCTAGTATTTGGAGGTTGAGGCACAACCTTTGCATCCAAAGGTGACTGCAACAGTAAGAATTGGAAAAGGAGAGACTGGAAGGTCAAGTATAGCATGCACTAAAGCCTGGGTTTGATTCCAAAACCAGCATGGGACTGTAATCACAGCACACAAGAGGTGGATGCAGGGGAATGGGAATTTCAAGGCCATTCTTGGCTGCACAGAGAGCTGGAATTCAGCTTCGATACATGAAATATTGTCTTTGAAATAAAAGTTGGAAAAACTGCCCAGCAAGTGAAAACCTCTGTTAAGTAAATATGGTTGGTGTGGAAATGACACTGTCCTTCCTGATGAAGGGACAGAGTCATCTCATCTGAGTCGCCCAGCTGTCCAAAGTGAGAACGGTCATAAGACAAAGCCATTTATATTTATTGGCTCCCAGGAAACCGATAGCCTGCACAATATTCTAATTTAGTACGGCAAACGCTTAGTGCAATATTTGTATTTTATCGTCCATAGTACTCAGTTACAAAACCAAATTTGAATGCAAATGCAATTAAGCTCTTCAAGCGAGATGCTCAGAAATGTTTCTTCATATGCATGATTCTGCATGGACGTAGGTTTCCAGGATTTTACATGTGTACATAGCATACCAGCTTTCTTTCTGACAGTACACCACTGTGCTCACATGAAACTTGGGGAAAAGCACCCGGACTAGCAGAATGGGCTCCTCACAGCTGTGTAGCAACGAGGAAAGTCAGAAGGCTACACAAAACCCACACCTTCGATGGAATCATAAGAGAGACGGCTGTGATCTTCAGGTCACCTGTAAGCTGGAAAAAAAGAAGGAATACCGAATAACAAGTGCCACACCCAGCCCCGAGTCGTGAACCACACTTTGGCCTTGGAGGGAAAGTAGGGAAGAAAAGTGATGACAGAACTCAGGTTGACGGGAAGTTGCCTGGAAAGAAATGCCATCCCCATGTATGAGACACTGTCAAGAGTCCACGTGAGTCAGCGCTGGCGGCAAGGGAGGATGCTGGAAGGGATTCGTGCTGGCAGACTCTGTGAAGTATGCTCCAGGGAGAGAGAGGAAACAAAGAAAGGGAAAAGGATGCTTCCAGGAAGGGAAGCAAAAGGGAAGACATCTCAGGTCCACCGGAAGGCATGTGACTTGCCCCAACCCCAGCCCCTGGTGGTTAAATGGTAAGGATATAGTAGTATATTGGGTTATGTCGGCAGGAAAGATCCCCTTTAAATCAGAAATCGTGTAAATTCTCCAAATTAATAAAATAAAAGCCAACTAAGTCTACACATAATTACTCTAAAAGAAAATACGAAAAAAGGATAAAAAATGGTATCCCGAGGAAAATCAGCCACACTATAGTAAGTGGGGCCAGTCAATCAAGCATCCGGGGATGTGGAAACTGTCTTGGGTAGGAAAACAGTTTGTATCAAGAATCTTATAGCCGGCCAAGCCCTCCTTCAGGACTCAAGGCTTAGGAAAACTGTTTGACGCCACGAGAAAACAAGGACAACTAACTCATGAGGGAGAAGTTATAGACGGTGCAGGATGAAATACATGGGCATGGGGGGCACGTAATAAAAAAGTTCCCCACCCGAGACAGGTCAGATGGACTGGAATAAGCTAGAGCACTTCCTAGAATGCCATTGGAACCACTAAGGGACCCCTTTGGGTGTGGCTCCTTGAGGTACTAGCTATGTGTATGACATGTGTGCATAGGGCACAGGCTACCGTAATGTGGAGACGGTCCAAATCCACATGTATTTTCTCACAACTCTTTAGTCATGTGATGCTGACTAGCGCTGTTCCATAGGCACACCACAAAGGTGAAGGATGCGGATGGCCGTGGGAAAATTTCCCCAGGGGAAGGCCTTGGGCACAGCTGGTAGGTTGATTACACCGGGCTTAAGGTGCTTCCTGGGTCTGGACAGGAACACACTCACGGGACTGGGCTCTGTAATCCCAGTGGTAGATGAAATGGTCAAAAACATCACTGAAGGTTTGAAACAGAAGATATGGACCGATTCAAGCTGCCGAGTTACATATTTCCTCACCCATGGACACTTTCTGTTTCTTAGGCCAAGCAGCTCTCTCTCTCTCTCTCTCTCTCTCTCTCTCTCTCTCTCTCTCTCTCTCCCTCTCTCTCTCTCTCTCTCTTCCTTTCTCACTTTCTCTTTCTTCCTACCTACTTTCCTTTCTTCTTTTTTCTTTCTCTTTTGGTTTTGGGGTTTTGAAGATAGGGTTTCTTTGGGAAGTTTCAGCTGCTGTAGAACTCGCTCTGTAGCCCAGGCTGGCCTTGAACACACAGAGATCCACCTGCCTCTGCCTCCCCAAGTGCTGGGATTAAAGGGACACACCAGCACGCCCGGCTGCTATTTCACATTTTAAACAGACAGATTGTATTAAACGGACACGGCACACTGCATAGAATATTCAGAGTCCCGGTGCCATAGGGGATTGTTGGAGAAGTTGATGTATCTGCTGGGTAAGCGAGAGGAGAAACCGGCACCAGCAGGGGAGGCTAAGAGAGGTCGGCTTCAAGCTGTATAAGGATGAGACAGTGACTAGAGAGGACACAGGTGAGCTCCTCTCCATCCAGGGCCTCCAGGTGCAAATACTCATCGAGCAGCTTACCGGAGCCGATCCAGCAGGGACAGGAAGCTGAAACAGCAGTTTCCATCAAAGAAGGGGTTATTAAAACCACTCGGCAAGGAAGCGTGGGGCCCACATGGTTGCTCTAGGTGGCAGGGTGTTGCCCAACTAGAGCCCCTGTGCTCTGCGGACTGGTAAAGGGGAAGAGAAAACATCAGGACACGTTTGGTGACGCTAGTGTAATGCTGGGGGTTAGAGTAAGGCAGAGCATCGGCTCCGTTTACCTCAGAGCTGTCCACATGCAACTCCTCAGAAGCCACCGGTATCACTTTGGGAGGCAAAAGGGAGCTTGCAAGTGTGACAGAATTATGGGTCTTGACGGGGTGAAGCCAAGATAACCTCCAGGGTCCTTAGGGAGACGGTAGTGTGAGAAGCCGAAGGGTCAATGGAGGCCGAGAGGAACAAGAGATGCTTATGTTGCTGCCTTCAAAGATGAGGCCATGGACAAGGAAAAGACAGCCACTTGAGGTCGGGAAGGACCAAGAATGAATGCAGGCCCGCTGACACCTTTAGGCTGGGAAGAGTCATTTTAGATTTCTTGCCCCCCGCCCTGGAAACGCAAGGGAATGAGTGTATGCTGTTTGGAGACATGTCAGCAAATTGTTGCAGCGACCATAAGAAACTAAGGTCATATTTGAACAGCAGTGTAGCAGAGAAGGAAGATTATAGGCAGATATTGCTGGTCAATGTGATAGAAGTTCCTTATAACCACTAGTGAAAAGAATTCAGTATTCTATAAGAAAAGCATGCTTAGGGACCTACAAAAATTCAGTTCAGGAGTGAAAGGCTTATTTTTCTTAGCAGATATAGTAATACAATGTGACTTATTCATAAATTTAAAGAGGACAAATTATCTGAGCATCTCAGACATGCTGAAAATCAGCTTGACAAATTCAGTTCTCACTGATGGTAAAAAGCACCGACAAGACAATTCATGGCGATGGTGTGCACAACTCAGTTCCATTGTTTATCTCTCTCCCGATAGGGACAGCCCAAAGGCACCCTCATTAGGATAAAGGATGAACAACACAGTGCTGGAATGGGGCTCAGTGATGGAGCGCTTGCTCCCAACGCCAGACAAAATCAAACAAGCATAATGAACCATCCGGCAAAAGTCACAACTGCCAGCAAGAGCCAGGAGACCAACTGTTCATTAAAGATAGAGAAGCAATTTCATAGTGCACTGGCCTAGCAAACAATTATACTAGCCAATAACAAACACCCAGCGAAGACAACCCCAGGGCACAGCCCCATTTTTTAAAAAAAATAATAGTCTGTCTCAGGTAGATGACTCCTATCTAGTTGTGAGAGCTCTAGACAAACATCAATTTTAGTGGCATTTTATGAAAGCAACTGGCTGGTGGCCTAGGAAATGTCATCACCAGCAATGAAAAGCGGAGAAACTGTTCCAGTAGGGATGACACGTAGGAAAGGTGACAATTTTATATGATATATGATTCTGGATTCAGTCCGGGACCACACACCAAACACTATAAACACGACCTTATTGGAACATTTGGTTAGATATGGCCTCGGAATGTGGATTAGATAATGGCACTGATTCACGTTGATAGCCCGATTTTAGTTAGTGTACAACAGTCATATGCAAAAATATCTGTGGAAAAGGATCTGATGCCTGCAAATGACTTAGAACAGATCCAGAAAGTGTGTTTGTATGAGGAGAGAGGAGATGAGGGACACGAAACAAATAGGGAAATTTTCTTAGATCTATTCCAACAGCCTTTCTGTAAATGCCAAGTTATATGAAAACAGAGCATTAAAAATTATTAGACATTAGGGTAGGGGTGTAGCCCAAGTTGATGGAGCTCTTGCTTATCACACATGAAGCCCTGGGTTCAGTCCCCAGCATCACATAGACTGGATGAGTGGTTGTGTGCTCATGCTCAAAATTTTAGCACTTAGAAGGAGGGAGAGGAGGATCAGACCTTCCAGGTTGCCCTCTGGGAATCACTGGTGAATGAGTTCCAGGCCAGCTTGGACTAGGGATGCTAAATCATCTGTGTCCTGTCTTGGCTTCTGCCACTTCTCAGCTCACAAATCCATACTTTTCTACTGGACTCTTATGAAGCTCTCTATTCAGAGAGCAAACACATGGCTGGCTTGTTCTGAAAAGCAAATCTTTGGAATAAATGTAAATGATTTCAGGTTACAGGTAAGTCTCATCCCATGCTGGAAAGGAGAAGGGCATGAAACCACTAAAAGAAATCCCAGAATACACCTCTCTGGGTGACACTTGCAAAATACACTGACTAATGTTTGAGAAGGAACACAACATGCTGTTTTCCTTCCATACTGCTTCATCCATGCAGGCTGCTGTGTATCCATACTCTCTTCACTAACAAACACCACCGCTTCCTGGAGCTTGTTACACAGCAAGTGTGCACACAAGACAGGGGTTAGGACCGCAGGCAGCCTGTCAGTACCGTGGAAATGAGCAACTATGCTGCCCATAGCCATCTTCAGCTGTGGGGAAAGGGATCATTGCTGATAACAGGGGCAAGGAGGGAGTGATCAGGGGGATGATTGCTCTCTGAAGATCCTCTAAAGAGGTTTCAATATGGTCTGAGTATTCCTTACAATTTTATAGTTTGATTTGTGCAAGATATACTTTTTACAGTGCTGTGCTGAACATTCCAGTTTCTCATTGTTCACATCTGGCTATTACAAATCTCTCTCTCTCTCCCTCCCTCTCTCTCTCTCTCTCATTCTTTCTTCCTCCCTCCCTCCATCTCCCTTCCTTCCTTTTTTCCTTCCTTCCTTTCTTCCCATACAGATGTATGCGATCACACCCAATTTTAAGCAGGGTTGTGGAGTGTCTTCTTGTGTGCCAGACAAGCGCTCTACCAACCGAGCTACATCCACGGTCTGACCTCATTGAACATTACAATTAATTTTGGGCGTGGAGTGGGGGAGAAGACGGCTAAGCAGGCAGAGGCACTTGCCACCAAGCCTCGTGACCTGGCTTCACCCGTGACCCACATGATGGAAGGAAAGAACTGACTCCCACAAGTTGTCCTTGAACTTCCACAAGCACACTGGGATCCTTGCTCCTTCTACACCCGAAGTGAATAGATGACGAACTAAGATATTTTAAATGTGATTTCAGTGTGTTATCTAAAGCTGTGAAAGCTTGCCAAGACACCCTGAGGTGCCTTCAATGGAGTCCTTTGGATGGTTAAGTGCTATCTGAAGATAGCAGCATTTGAAGTAGTTCTACTCACACAGAGGCGTCTTTTGCCCATGCTCTCTTTAATCCAACATGACCTGTGAGGGAGGAGGTCCACACCTGGGGGGGCGGAGTGAGGCCCCAGGTGTGATGAGACAGTGACCTCTTAGTAACTAAGATTCCCCATGAGAAGCACAGGCATTCACTGGAAGACAGTTTTCCTCCATGGGCCTGTGACGGTGGGGTCAGATGCTGTGGTGGTTTGTATGAGAATGGCCCTCGTAGGCTTAGGTGTGGCCTTGTTTGGGAAGGTGTGTCAGAGTGGGCGGGCTTTGAGCTTCCAAAGAGATTCTTGCCTTTCTCCTTTGCCTCCTGCTTGTGGATCGAGATGTGAGCTCTCGGCTACCGCTCCAATGCCAGCCTGCCCGCCTGCTCCTATGCCCCCCACGGTGATGACCATCTAACCCCCCTGAAACTGTAACACTCACACAAACTCTTACATGAGCTGCCCGTGCCATAACGTCTTATCACAGAGATCGAAAAGTAACTAAGACAGACACTGGCAGTGATTTTGACCTGTAAAGCATCGGTTAGACTTGCCACCTGGTGAGGAGCTAGAATAGAACGAAAAGAGCATCTGGGGACACTGTGTCACCCTGCAAACACCTTTCTGCAGCTGAAGTTGCCAAGGCTGTGCCACAGTGGTTACTAAGTAGAGGTTATCGAACCTTTGTGTGGAGGTGGCAGGAGCCAGGGAAGCGGAGAGTCTCAGGTGCCCATCACTTAATTACACTCAAAGTGAAGTCAAATGCCTTTATTGTCATCCAGGATGACTTCATTTTGCTGCAGGGAGTTCTGTGACTGAGTTCTGGCCAGACACATCCCCTAACTAACCTTTTAATACTCTTTCATGACACAAGCAATACACAGGAGACTCAATTCCTTGAGCATAAATTGGAATTATCATAAAGTAACCGTCATGCCCCTATTTACTGTTAAGTCCATTTGTAATGCCATTCTTCGGAAATGTCTTACCATACCGGGAAGCAGGTGACAGAGTTCAGATGTAGAGGACAGTGACTTGTCATCCCATTCCTGGGAATGGCTAGCTTAAGAGAAGGCTTGGCTCTGTCTTTATGGATATTTTCTGGGGGTGGCATAGGGGTGGAGCAGATGGAGGAGCAAACATAAAATGCCTCCAGTAGACCTGCTCTGTTTTCCTGCCATTCCTGATGTCACTTAGCTTCTCCGAAGCAATGGGCTGCTTCTAAAGAGAAGCCTGGGAGACCCTGGTTCAGGATGTCAGCAGGTGGTACCACCAGGGGGCTTTGGGATGGCAATATTCTCCAGTTTCTCTGAGGAGGCATCAGTGTGGGTGGTGCATCCTGTATTGGTAGGAAGATGCTCCTCATTGTCTAGAGTGTGGATACATACACCAAGACCCCAGTATCCCCTTTAGTGCTGATCATAAGGACAGTTCACCCCCTCAAAATGGCGCATTTCAGATAAATTCTCCAAAGCCTAGGCTCAGGGTAGGAAATCAGCAATGGATGACATTTCTGGATGATCAATGGACAATCTCCCAGGTGTATGGCCTCTTTCATGTATGAGACAAGGGTATGGGTTAAGGGGTGGGACAGTGTATCAAAGTGAGGGTTATCATCTATCTATCATCTACCTACCTATCTATCATCTATCTATCATCTATCTATCATCTATCATCTATCTATCTATCTATCTATCTATCTATCTATCTATTTATCATCTATCTATCTATCTATCATCTATCTATCTATCATCTATCATCTATCTATCATCTATCATCTATCTATCATCTATCATCTATCTATCTATCTATCTATCATCTATCTATCATCTATCATCTATCTATCTATCATCTATCTATCATCTATCTATCATCTATCATCTATCTACCTATCTACCTATCTATCTATCTACCTATCTATCTATCATCTATCTATCTATCTATCTATCTATCTATCTATCATCTATCTATCTATCTATCTATCATCTATCTATCTATCTATCATCTATCTATCTATCATCTACCTATCTATCTATCTATCATCTACCTATCTATCTATCTATCATCTATCTATCTATCTATCTATCATCTATCTATCATCTATCATCTATCTATCTATCATCTATCTATCATCTATCATCTATCTACCTATCTACCTATCTATCTATCTACCTATCTATCTATCATCTATCTATCTATCTATCTATCTATCATCTATCTATCTATCTATCTATCTATCTATCATCTATCTATCTATCTATCATCTATCTATCATCTATCTATCTATCATCTACCTATCTATCTATCTATCATCTACCTATCTATCTATCTATCATCTATCTATCTATCATCTATCTATCTATCATCTATCTATCTATTATCTATCTATCTATCTATCTATCTATCTATCTATCTATCTATCATCTATCTATCTTCTATTATCTATCATCTATCATCTATCTATCATCTATCTATCTAACATCTATCTATCTATCTATCATCTATCTATCTATCTATCTATCTATCTATCTATCTATCATCTATCATCTATCTATCATCTATCTAACATCTATCTATCTATCATCTATCTATCTAACATCTATCTATCTATCTATCATCTATCTATCTATCTACCTACCTATCTATCTATCTATCTATCATCTATCTCTATCTATCTTTGTCTCTGATTTGTTTTGTTTGACGTGATGCCTACACTTCTCGGTGAGGGCTATTTATAAAGTTTCATGTGTCAGGACTATTGTTCTTGTGTATGCTGGGAACTTGCTGCTTGACCCTGAATACCTTGTCCCTCACCCCTGGCGCCTTCTCTTCAGTCCCCTCCACCCTGCAGAGCCATCTGAGTTCTCCTTGTGATGGCCACTGCTTTTGCCACCGAAGTTAGTGACTGCTCACAAGGAAATTCTTTGCCTCTTCTTACTTGGGCTTCAGAATGTTCTCAAAGTTTCCCTTAATCCTTTATTTATTTTTTTTTAATTACTGGCAGTATTCTTAAATGAAGACAATGTCTTCGTTCTGTTCAGCCTCTCCACCCTTATGTGGAAACCAAACACAGGAAATCAATTTCCCTGTCCTCCCAGAGGCCATCCTCCACTTTCCTGTCACAGCATCTCTCATAGGCTCACAGAGCATCGTTCAACAAGCAAGCAGGCATGGCATGCACAGTGGAGAGTAAATGCTCAGAGGGGCATCTCGTGGGGGCAGCTGAATTGATTTAGATGCAGAATGATGGGCCTGGAGCCAGGGACTAGACAGGAATGAGGATGGCGTTAGGATACACATGCACCACAATGTATGCTCTGCGCAAGAAGGCAAGAAACAAAAACTAGCGGAAATGACCGATCATGCAATTATGGGCAAGATGCTGTTGAGAATAAAGAAGTGTGAATACCTGTGTAGGTCATAGCTTCCTCCATCTTTAGTTCCTGATGTAGGAAAATAGAAGAGGAATCAGTTAGCTTTAGAACTCATAGGACCTTTCACTATGCAGTTTCCACGAATACATCTAAATCCTAGAAAGAAACATACTGTGTTAAATACAGACAGCACTGACATTCAACGGAGACAGTCTATTAATTAGCCTCAAAAGGCCTGAGTGCTAAGAATAAAAAGGCTTTAGGGAAAAAAAAATGTAAAATGACAAAACTAAATTGGGTCAGAAAAAAAAAAAAAAAAAAAAAAAAAAAAAAAAAAAACACATTGGGAAAGGTGTTTCCAGAAGTTCCGAGTAAATTAAAAACACTTTTTTGCAGGGATTGAGGGGTGAGGGTAGCGCTTGGAAAGGGAGGCCTGTAATAATCTCCCATAGGAACCGTCCAGACCATGGAGGGGTCTACTTAAAGGGCATAGCAATAACTAGGCCCCACCTGGCCTGTCATTTCACTATTAAGGGACCCTATCAGGTTTTTCCGCAGTGGGCTGGTAAGTCATCACCCGTGACTTAGGCTGCTACATTCTCTCGGGGAGTGACAGCGGTGTGTAATATTTCTAGTGCCTCAAATAGTTTGGCTTAGACCTCGGGCCTTCACAGGTTGGCTTCCCCGACACCCCTACCCCGGCTTTTCATCTCTTTTCTTCTCTTGTTTTCTGAGAAAGGTCAGCATATAAGCAGAATATTTCCAAAGCTTTAAGCTGAGTGAAGTAAGCCGCCAAAGACGGGCTTTGCAGGCCTGGTTCGTGCCTGGGTAATTTTCCCTAGGTGTTGAGCTGAGCCTTGACCTCACAGGACTTTCTTGCAGGTTGTTTGATCTCAGACCTTACGGGGGTGGAAATGGCGAGCCAGTGGGTGGGTTGATCATTTTTGAAGAAGAACCTCATTTCTCTGTTCAAGTCTGCGCCCGCCCCAATCAGTTCAGATGTTTGAACACCGAGTTGGAGGAGCGTGTTGGGGGAGGTTACAGAAGCTTGGGCAGACGGAACCTTGCTGGAGGAAGTGTGTCACTGGTGGTGGCTTTGGGAGTTTATAATGTCACCTCTCTGGCTGTTCTCTCTCAGTTTCTTATTTGTGATTCGGTCTCCTGCGCCAACCACACTGTGTATCACTTGCTGCCTTGTCCTGATGGACTCCTATCTGCTTGGAACTGTAAACCAAAACAGTATCTTTCTTCCATAAATGGCTTTCAGCCATGACTTTTTATCATGGCAACAAAAAAGTAACTGCCACAGAGTGACTTGACCAGATGGATGGCTGTCATTTTTATTGCTAGGGATGCTGGCTCTACAGGACCTGCAAACCACAGGATGAGATTTGGTTGCATTAAATATGCCTCACCTGGGATGGGACAAAATAGCTCACTGGTTAAGAGCGTATAGCGTTCTTCCAGGTACCAGAGTTTGGTTTCTAATATCATGTTAGATGGCTTGCAAGTGCCTGTAACTCTTGCACCAGGGGATAGGGACACTCTATTTGGGCGTCTTCTGGCATTATAGTCATGTGCACAAACCTGTACACAGACACGGACGTGTGCGCATAATCAAAACCAGAGAGAGGCAGAGCTCGCGCAAGTCAGGCATTGTAACTTATACCTATATTCTCAACACTGAGCGATTGGCCATACTGGGTTACACAGTAAACTGGAGGTCAGCCCAGCTACGTAGAGTAAGAATGTGTCTCACGAAGGGTGGGGGTAGGGGAACCCCTGCAAACCGCTTCCCAAAGTCAGTGACCTGAGCTTGTCATTCTGGAGGGATGCCAGGTTCATCTCCAGCTCTGTTTCTTCCTTTCTGTGAATAACTGACACTTACTTTCCTACACAGATGGTACAGACAATGGCTCTTCCAAGTGGCAAGGCAGAGGTTGGACAGACAGTGTACAGAACCACGTCTGCGTAAACCCAAAGGAGGAAAAAAGTCAGGCATGCACAGCTGGGCAGGGTGGAAACATCTTTCCAGCACCATTTCAGGTTCCAAATTAACAAGCTTCCTAAATATTTGTATCTTCAAATGGGAGATGGTGGTAAAAGAAATGCAATTCCCTTGTCTCTGCAGGGATTCAGACAGCGGTGGAGGGTTCTTTGTGAGAAGGAGAAGCAGGGCACTGTGTATCTCGACCAAGCTACTGTAATGGAGCTTCTGGTTTACTGAGGACTGTATGGCTGCCATGGGACAGCCCCAAAGCCTTGATTTCGTCTTCCCACGGATGCTTCTTTCGGAAACCCAGGTCTTCTGATACAGGGGAAGCACGCAAGAGGTTGGAGGCTACTCACACTCCATATTTCAGTAAATTCGGCTTCCCATCACTGTGCTCAGAGTGAGAGACTTTGGGATCAAATTAGGTTTGGGACTATTTACAAAGGTTCTCTTGGAAGTACCCTAAACTATATGCTCATACGTGGAAATGTGTCAAAAGGAGAAATCTTGATAATACGGAGTTTTCTAAATACGACAGAAAGAAGTAGTGCATTTTCTTACCGACGTCAAGGCTCTTGGGTCTTGGGTTGCACTGTTTATAACCCTGGCAGCTTCGGAGCTCCATTAGCTGTATGTGTAGCTGGTTCAAAACACCCCGCTCTACCGTGTGTACTGCATTTGTAAGCTGTGGGTGAAGTAGACGAGACAATGCACTCAAGCACGTGTCTGCTTATCCCATTTCCAACCACCCTTGTCAAGTGAAAACATTGTCTTACCTGATAAGGATCTGTGTTCATGTCAAAATACTCCAGAAAGCCGGTAGCAAACTCACAAAAGAGAAAATTGTGTGTCTCGTTCACCGTACGCAAACACCAGTATGTGTTATTGTTAGAACTCGTGCACGCGCAGAAAGATCCCACTGTCGGAAAAGAGAGAAAAAGCCGAACGGCAAGAATGAGAGGCTTCACAAGCTGGCCACCTCCGTATCTCTCTCCAGGCTCCATGGCTGCTTTCTCATAAATGCTGTGATTGGCTGTCCAAGATGACATCCTTCCCTCCACGCAACCTGGGCCACAATTCCTCTACTGCTCAGGGAACCCCGTACAGAAAGAAAAGAAAACGAGAGCACCGTTCAAAAGTGCACAGTTAGTCCACATCTTCCGCCATTCAAGACAAAATGGGAAACCTTTGCGGACCCCATGATCTTCCGTCAAAGGAGCACAGGGTAAGGAGGGCATGACCCCTGCATTTGCAGCGTCTTTACCGTTTCTTATTCCTTTTAAGGCGCATGCACTGGAGTTAAGGCACAAAGCCAGTCTTGGGGGCAAAGGTGCCCCAAGTGTTCACTGCCCCGGACCTGAGTGGCTTTATTGGGAGTAACGGCCTTGGGCAGCCTCCGTGTGAAACCTCAAGGAGACACTTGGTAACTTTAAACAAAAATGCCAAACCTTTCTAGGACCAGAAGCCAGTACACCTGTAACCGTAGCATTTGAGAGGCTGAGCCAAGAGGGTTGCAAATGGGAGGTCAGCCTGGCCTACATAGCTCTTTCTAAGTCAGCTTGGAATCTGTAGTAAGGCTGTTTGAAAATCAGAACAAAAATTAACTCAAACAAGAACAAAAAAGCAAGCCATAGTTTCTGAAGGAAAATTAATTTTTTTTTTCTAGAAAAATGATTTGAACAATACGGCGTTTTCCGGTTGGATTACCCTCGGCCGCTATGTTTTACGTAGGGATTCTTGGCCCACATTAGTACGGTAGGTAGGAGGGGTGCTCTCTGCGCCCTGGTAGGATATGCCGCCGGGAGGGGGGGCGGGGAGGGGCGGGGGCGGGGAGGCGGGGGGCAGGGCTTACAGTTCCAGAATGGGGCAGTCTGCCAGTGGTTATTGTCGTGTGTGAAGCAGGTGAGGCCGGGCAGGCTACACTCCTCTCCCTTTCTCTGGCGTTTCTTTTCCTTCCTCGCCTTCTTCCTCCGACGGTTCTCCTTGAAGAGCTGCAGTTTGCTGTCCACCTCCTGAGCAGCGGCCTCCCTAGACCAAGACAAGGAACTGTTTTGATGACCAGGAAGGGCATTATGAGGAGGAGGACCCGGAAGACGCACAGACACACGAGCTTTGGTGACCTCCATGTCTCATAGACACCTTCGAGTACAGCATCGTCACTCACTCCGTGCCGAGAGCTTTACTAAGCCTGACAGTCACTTGCTGTTAAGCTCTGATGGGAGTAAACTTTGGCATGAGTCAGTGCACCTTCCCAGCCACAACCCTTGGGCAATGAATGATGCAATCTCCAGGAAGCTCAGTCCATGAATGGTAAGTCAGACGGGGCAGCTTACAATAGGTGGATTAAAAACAATTTGGCAAATTATACATGATGAATGTTTATAAATATTTATCATGTTTCTTCTTTAGGAGAACTCCAAATTCTATCATGTATGTGAGATATGATCATATCTACCCAATGCTTGTCCCTCTCCCCACTGAGTCTAATTAATGATGCCCATATGTGCAGGCCATCCCCTGGAGCATGGACTACCTACCATCCGTCACACCCCTGGGTCTCCATCCTCTGGCAGCTATCAACTGCCAATAGCTCCTCAGGGGTGGGGCCTCGTGAGCTCCGCCCTCACCCATGCTAGCTCTTTAGTTGGCTTGATCTCATGCCTGCTATGAATGAGTTCATGCGTGCAATAGCAATGCCATGTTCAAACGACAGCATTTCACAACGCTCTTCCCCACCTTCCAACTCACGTTCTTTTGACTTCCTTGGCAGGTGTTTTTGCGTTTGCTTTCCCACGTAATTTCAGTTTTGCCCACATTCAAATGCAAACATCTCTTGCACCTGAGACTTCATGCTTCCTTACATTTTGAGGGGTCAGCGCTGTCACGGGTTATTCTTGCTGAACACCCTAATTTAGCCAAGGGTCTGTTACCCCCTTCATCAATCCCCACGGAGGGGACCATGCATGGAGGAAAATCCCCTGTGCAACACAGGGGTCCCCCCCAGGCACCGTGGATAGTCCCTGACTCCTGGTACATAAGACAAACACGAAGTTACTCACTTGAAAGGGTGAAGATGGTTTTTTAACTTCTCTTGCCTTTTTACACCTTTCTCTTTGTTGTAATAGCTGTAGGCCAGAAGATTAAAAAGTGAGTCTCATACACACACACACACACACACACACACACACACACACACACACGGCGGGAAGTTATTCATTTGTTACTATTTCAGACAATGCCTAACGGCAATGGATTCATGCTCAGCATTAGTGAAAGAGGCGCCAGCCTCAAGCCAGCCTCTGGCTCGCTTGTGTTAGGAACTGACCCGCTCACCTGTGCTTGCTGCAGCTACACTCCTCAGGCTTCCGTTTCTTCAAGTGTCCCCTTACTTCTCTTAAATTCTTAATTTTGTCTTGCAGAACTTCAATCTGAAAAGCACACATTCACACGGTTCCCTTCTAAGATCAGGATTTGCCTTTATAAAATGCCTTGTTTGCTGGATTGCATAATTACAACTATTCCAGAGCACAGCTGGGAAGAGCGAGTCATAGAACATATTTATATTCCATCTATATTCCAGCCAGTGTGCCGCAGAAACGTTATCATATATCTCATTATAGCTGAACAGTTTCCTCAAACATATGCAAAAGATTATCGGCTTCGTCCCTGTTTTTCCCTCGATTGCTTTCAGTGGGACTACCACAGTTGTTGGGAAGTTTAAGTACCTGTCGGTTACAGCTCTCTTCCTCCCTGCCCAGCTGTAGAACTCCCATGCTCTCAAGGTTGATCAAACACGGTTGTTCTCATAACTTTCCGGTGTGCACAGCCCGTGCCTTGACCCAGGTGTGGGTGGTGCACGATTTCCTCCTATGCTTAGCCCTTCCCCTGGCTGGGGTATATAAGCCCTTTACTCTCTGTAATAAAAGGTGGCAGCTTCCTCTTCACCTCTCCTGGTGGTCTGTTAAGTGTTTCAATCCCGACACCCCCTGCCAGCTTGGTACTCTGGCCGCCCAGGCACGGCACACAATGTCATTGGAGGAAGATAAAGGCCTTGGTGGATTTCCCAGTTTTTAGTCAATTACAAAAAGGAAGATGTGTACACGTGGAGTGTCCCACACATCACAGCAGGGCTAAGCTGAGCATATAACCACGTAGATGGCTCACAGAACACACAGTCATGTGGATTGCTTTCTGTTTGTATGTTTTCGATGCTGGGCTAGAATTAAGGTCCTTCCTTACGACAATCAAGCTCTCTACCACCAAGCTCTACCCCAGCCCCAACACTGACCTCCTTATCGATGTAGGCCTTGTGGTCTTTCCACGCTCTGGCTGACTGATACAGCTCTCTCTCACAATGGATCGTATCATTGGGAAGAATGAAGCATCTTAAAAGGGAACAGGACCAAGAGAAACAGGCTTACGGTCAGAAAACACCAGCGATAGCAAAGAGAACTCAGAGCCTTCCACCCTAGCTAAAGGCACTGGCCACAGAGCTGATTCCTACACAAGGGTAAACGAGACTGCCCTGGCCACTGGCGCACAAGGGACAGGGTCACTGCTTGTGACTAGATCATTCCCCAGAACACTTTGTCGCAGCTTTTCAGTCATCCTCCCTTGAAGGGGCTCCATTCCCCAGCTCAAGCTTTTAAAGTGTGTGTGTGTGTGTTTTCAGAGTGACAATGCAAAATGGTCTTGGAAGAGATGTATCATTTCCTTATTTTACCTATAAAAACACAGCTCAAGTACCCCACGTGCACACTCCTGTTTTCCCATGCTGAGGCTCTAACCTGGGGTGTCTGGCTGGACAAACACTTTACACTGGGCCGAACTAGACCTCCAGCTTCTCCATTCTGGATCTTTCCTTTTGAGATAGTTACATGTATCCTAGGTTGGATTTGAACTTCCGACCCTGCTCAAGCCCTGAGGGCTGGAACCATAAGTGCCCTCCTCCATGCCTAGTGGGGACCAACTCCAGACCCCAGGGCTTATGTTACTGGCTATTTGTTTGTATTTTGTGTGTAGAGGTGTTTTGTCTGCATGTATGTCTGTGGACCATGTGCGTGTAGAATCCGTGGGAGGCAGAGTGGGTGTTGGATCCCCTGATGTGGGGGGTTATATATGGCTGTGACTCGCCATGTGGATTCCAGGCACCAAACCTGAATCTTCCAGAAGAACTGCCAGTGTTCTTAAGTTTTGAACCCACTATCCAACTCCAAGTCGAGGGCGTCTTGCAAACTAGGTGAATAGTCTGTCAACCCAGCTATGTCCCTAGTCCCACCCATTAAGGTTTGAAACAAAGTAACAACCGAGTCATAGAAAGGGGGTGGGTATGAGGGGGAGGATGTGACTCTAAAAAGTATAAATTCTGGGTGAGCTCATCCTGCTGCATGGTGCGCCATGGTAATGGCATTGGGGGATAAAATGAAGATCTAATAAATTGAGGAAGAGAATACTTCTTTATCAAGAGAGAAGATAAATTTGGGGAGGAATATGGAAGAGCCATGTGAACTTTTTAAGCTGTGGAAATAGTATTTGTTTCTTGTCTGGATGACTTCCAACCCTTTCCGTCTGCTCTTATCAGGCAGGTCAGGTTTTTCTGTATTTTACATACCCATTCCTAGGCTACAACTGTTTTCTACAAGTTTCTTTGGGATCCACCACCATCTTTCTTCAAGGTGTGTTCCAATTCTGAGGCCTGATTCTGCAATGCTCTAAATCGAGGGACGGGCAAGGAGCATGGAAGAGTCCCCAGAATTGTTCCCATCTATTTCCAGACACTTCTGTAGGTAACGACTTGGGGGGTAGAAACTCCACCCAGGCCTGCTAAGTCAAGGTATGACAGAATTTCTCTAGCTGGGTTCCTGGCTAATCAGCCGTAATATGAAATGGAACCCAAGCTCATGTCGAGGCAGTTGCTGGCTCTCTCTTTCCCTGTGCCCCTTGTGCGCAGGCAAGCCTTTGGGCACGGCATTGCTGAGTGCTGACTAGTTTCCCCAAGCCCGAATGGTGACTGTATGGGGTGTGAGGTAATATCGACCCCCAGCCTGGGAACTACAAAAACAGACTCACTTGTGCGTCACACGGACGGTGGTGGGCAGCCCCACCGCATCGTTGCTGTCTGCCAGCATCTCGTTCCCGATGTCGCCGCCGGCAGCCTGGTGGCCCTTGTCGTGGCGCTTAGAAATGCTCCTTGGCGGTAACACTTGCAATTCTTCTTCTTCCAGGTTTATGTCGTATATCTCGCCTTCAAATTCAACCGACAGGGACCGAGTCTGCCGGGTGTGCACAAATCTGGGCTTATACTCTGGAACGAGGGGGGGAAAGCCATTAACACAGACGAGCTGGCGCATGGGGAGAAGAGTATCACCTGTCGCCTTGGGGTCTTAGTGGCCCCTGCATTGCTACTGGGTGTCTTGATACCTGGAATAGTTCCTGAAATCACAGAGACAAAAGCAGGCTCTTTACTGGTTTCGTCCTGTGACAGATGTCATGCTTCTCTGACCTCAGGCTCTTCCCTCACCAAGGGGGCGAGCAAGCTATGTGTGCGCTTTCATATCTAGTTTTCAGCATGTCTTGGTGTTATAGTCCACATTCTTGGAAAAGGGAACTGAAGCCTTGAGGTTGGCATGCTGTTCCTTGGGTTCTAGAGCCGGGATGTGCTGTGTGAGCTGCCTTTTCTGAAAAGAATTCCACACAGTGAAAACTTTCTGGAAGGGGAGAGAGTGTGTTCCTGTTACTAAGTGGGATGCTTGTATCGGGGTGGTTGTATCAGCTGTGATATTCTTGTGCAGTTTAAATGTGATCAGTTTCCTTCCAGGAAGAAAGACAATCCCGTAACTCGGTGGGTTTTGGGGGAGTGGGGGTTGAGACAGGGTTGCTCTGTGTAGCCCTGGCTGTCCTGGAACTCGCTCTGTAGACCAGGCTGTCCTCGAACTCACAGGGATCCACCTGCCTCTGCCTCCCAGGCGCTGGGATTAAAGGTGTACACTACCACCACCGCCATCACCACCATCCCGAAACTCAGTTGTTCTTAACCGTTCTGTTAAGAATTTGTGGGAAAGAAAGAATTTGTGGAAATTGAATAGTAGTCAATTTTGGATACAATTCAGGATACGATTCATGATCCGAAAGTCCATTCTGTTTAGCACAAAACTGTCCTAGGATTTTCTTGATGATTTGTCCCCAATTCTTGGACACAGGTTTTTTGTTTGTTTGTTTTGTGTTTTTACATGACTATAGAAGCAAATGTACATGCATACTTATTCCCCAACCCTGCCTTTATCCCATCTTTAAACGTTTTTATTTCATTTTACATTCCAACCACAGTTCTCCCTTCCACCCCGGTTCCTGCTCCCCCCCAACCTCCTCCCACCCACTCCCCTCCCCTCCAGCCCACCCCAGTCCACTGCTCCTCACAGGTAAGGGCTCCCATGAGGAGTCAGCATAGGTTGGGTCGTGCATTAAGACTGCAGATGGCATCCACCATGGGGAGTGGGCTCCAAAACTCTTCAGAGACAGCTGAGCCAAGCTCGTGGAAACTCATGAACTCCAGACCCACAACTGTGGAGACCCCAGGAGACCGAACTAGGCCCTCCGTATGTGGGAGACAGTTGTGAAGCTTGGGCTATCAGAGGAGCCCTGGCATTAGGACTGCCATACAAACCTGGTACATTCCTTAGGGCAGGATGCCATACTCAATGGCAGTCGGATACAGGTTTAGAGAACTTGTTTCCTAACAGACTTGAGCCACTTCTCACATGGGCCATTAGGTGGCGCCAGACTCTCACTCTTCAGTGGCTTGCTCCCTGGTTTGGTTTTGTTTTTCCTGTAAGTCTGTAAACTCTCACGTCAATCAATTACCCGGGAGTTTTTATGATGGGAATTGTCGGCAGTAAGTGTTTGCCATACTGAGTTCAACCAATTTGATCTTCTTAGTCAATATGATAGAACCGTTCGGCAACACGCAAATATATATAGTCTAAAATATGAAAAATATGCCTTTAAAAACTGCTCATGTCTTTCTTCTTGGGCTAAACGCACATGGACTGATACCTGAAGTTTAACTTTTAAAGCAACTTAAGACAGACAGACATATCAGGCCGTTACCACGAAGGGGAAATAAAATGGGCCTAAACCACCCACACGGGTCCGGCAGAAGTCCCGTGGAATAATATCCACCGAAGCCTCTTCATTCCTGCTGATGCGGTGTGTCCCAAGGGGAGTTTCAGTCTACGCTAAGTGGCTAAGTGAAAATATTTACAGAGTACAATTTCTAAGCCATCTTTGCTGTCTTACTTCAAAGGGAACAGTGACTTTGCTTTTATTCAGAAATCTAGGCACCAATAAATAACATCGGGATCGCGTTGGCGTGGGGAGGGGTGTGTCACTAGAGCACGCGCCTGCCACAAGGTATGGCTTACTTGGTGTTCCTTGGTTCCTCAGGAACTGCCTGTGACTCTTTCTCTGGCTTCTGCTGGGCCGATAAGCAGACACCTTACAATGGCAGTCTTTGTCTTTGTCCTGCAAGCCGCGGGAGTAGAGGTTGCGCGTGCTCTGGCGGGCGGTGAGCAGGTCGCTGGGTCCTTTACACTTGTGGATCCGAAGCTTGCCAGATGTGTCCTCAATGCACTGCCACTTCTGCAAAAGCCAGCGGGGAGCAGTTGGCGAGGCTGGGCCAGGTGGTGTTTATTAAGTACTCTAGCACCAGCTCGTCCCCCACCCCCGCCCCCGCCCCGCCCCCGCTTCCCTCACTGGCAGCACTGGCATGAATGAAAAGGGACACGCTTTCAGGAGAGCCTGCAGTAACTCTGCCCTCGGTTCTATTTCTTTTGTGGCAGGCGCATACACATGATAATGAAATCATTGGAAATCAGACCTGCGTCAGTGACACCAGAGTCATGAAGGCTGATAAATGCATCCTCATCACCCAGACTAAACAGTCTTGAATGAAACATGTTAAAGCCCTCAGTGTCCCAAGACACAGAGCCAGCTGTCAGTGCTGTCTACACCAGGACCCCAAACCGCCCCATTTGTTCTGGAAAAACAAACTTGCCTGCTTTGTTCTCTGCCTCCCGGATCTAAAGCGATCCAGAGCAGAGTGGTACATGAGGAAGGCAGAGAGGAATTTAATTTGAGGCCATTACAGGCAGCGCTGACTCGGGGTATTCCAGACTGTAGACAAACTTGTTAGTTTTTCTTATTCAACAAACCCTGCACGCGCACAGCATGCTGTGCACCCCAGGATGAGGACGATGGAGTCCACCTTCCCAGAGGAACGCAATCGGGAGGTAATGCTAGTTCCAGCTTTGTAAGGAGCTGTGGGAATGCCTCAGGGTTCCCTTCAGAAGCTCTTTTCTAATTCTGATGTCTCCTCACTCTGGGGGGCAAGGCCCTCGGGAGTTCCTCCCACGTGGAAATCACAATAATGTCTTTACATTTCACTTTCTCTCCTACAACCCCCGAGGGTTCATTGGTTAGTAGGGAGAGTGCTGGCCTTCAATGGAAGTTGATGGTAACAGTTGAACAGAGTGAGTACTGATAGCATCGGTACTGTTAAATGTATCCTTCTCTCCCTGCTAAGTACAAGCACTACCTGTGTGTCATTATGTAAATGTCAACACACAGGTTTCTAAGCTGTGGCCAGAGCCATCCACTTGTGCTCTAGAACCATGCTGTGTCACACATATTGTCAAATGTCTTCAAGGAAGTTGTGTCTACAAAGGATACCCATTCTAGCACCATCTAAGGGGATCTTGTATCTCCTGCCCAACTTTGGTAAGCCCATAGCTTTGGGAGGTGTCACGGAAGCAAAGTTTTTAATACATAAAAAAAGCAAACTTTGAGCCGGACGTTGTTGGCACACGCCTTTAATCTCAGCACTCGGGTGGCAGAGGCAGGTGGATCTCTGTGAGTTAGATTTTGGCCAAGGGACTTGATGGCTTTTTCAGCAGATAAATGAAACATGTCTAAAATGCTACACAAACCTCCACAGTGAACAGGGTTTACAGTCACCATCATTTCATCATTTTCCATCAAGGGAGTTGTGTGTCTTTGGTACATGTTCACAAGCCCCGAGTATCTACAGCTCATTCTATGATTCCAAGTCAGCCAACAAATCCTTTTTCTTTTTTTAAATGAAATGTATGTGAAAAGTTTATTGGGGAAAGGGAAGGAAGTAAGGGAAGGAAGTAAGGGAAGGGAGAGAGAGAGAGAGAGAGAGAGAGAGAGAGAGACAGAGAGAGAGAGAGGAAAGAGAAAGGGAGAGAGAGTGAGCGAGAGAGAACAAATCTTAAAAGAAAAATGTAGCCGGCTGATCTTGGTGACTGTTGCCTGTGATATCAGCCCTCAAGAAGTGGAGGCAGGATGATTGTAGGTCTGGGGGGGCAGCCTGGATTATAAGACTCTGGTTCAAACAAACAAACATATGAAAATATGAAATCAGTTTGTTTGCGTTCAAAGGAGCCACGTCACACGAGTGAGTCCTCACTGGCTGGATGCTGGCAACTACAACAACCCCCAAGTGATTCTAATATGTCATTTGCGGACTTCTTTGCAGCTGGAAACCAGGAGGGAGGCAGAAGGAAAATATTTACGTCTCAGGAGCTCAGGTGCTTGAGTCTTTGAGGCTACAAATATTTGGGTTGTGTTGTATGCGAGGCAAGATGTGTCTAAAAATGTGCAGATGTAATTATCTCAAAAATGATTCCGGCAGGACAATAACCTCAGACCAGCACTTGTATGAGTCAGGATTTATGCTCTGTTTAAAAGTAACCAGCTTGCTTAACTCTCTCTCCAGTGAATGGACAAGTGGTTGAATTTTAGCTTCAGAGTCCACGCCAAGTAAAGCACGGCCACCAATTTCCAAGCAGGTTCTATGGCACTCAGAGGAATGACCACTGAACTTGAGAACCCCAAACCCAAAGGAAGCTCTGTGAGAGCCCCAGAACAAGCTCTCAGAAGGTGAAAGACATTTTCACTAAGAAATAGCTGTGTATCATACAGAATTCCTGTTGTTGATTAGTACAGCCAAAAAGAGGTAACATTTTGTAGTTTGAAAATTTGGGGGAGGTCATTCAGTGTGTCTGTATAAGTCTGTTTCTGTCTTGAATCCAAATGGCTTACCATGCAGCCACCCACCTGGATAATCTCCACAGCCAGTATCTGCAAAGCCTGAGGTCTGCAGGAGCAGAAGGAGTGGCCAGAAACTCCTTTCACAGCCAGTGTAAGCCTGAACAATGCTCCAGCCTCGGCCACACAGAAAAATGGGGCTGATAATTTCATTCCTAAAGGGCAAGGGCTGTCTGTGGTTCCAATTCACACCATCTCTGCTACAAACAGAAATTGCTTCTGAGACTTGGTCTCAGCAGCGGGATGCCCTTGCCTCAGCCTTCTGTAACCGGGGCTGCTGGTGTGTACCACCATGCCTGGCCACATAGTTATTGCTGAACCCCATGACTGCCCTGCAAACTCTCTGAATGTTCTGGGCCAGAGCACATTAAAGGTTTTCTGTCTTGTTTTTCCTCTCTGGCTTAGAGGAGCTGACGGTACAAGTAGATTCTTGTAGAACACAAAGGTGTGTGTAACATTTCCAGTGACCGCCTATTTGGAATCTAACCCATATTGCCATCAGCCAAATTCCTCGTAGATTTCCTGTGAAACAAGGAATGGGAGTGTGTTTAAGAATCTTAGTGTCTGGTCCGAGAGCAGCAATGTTTCACACGAGACCAAATACCCATACATATCTGCATGTGTGAGTACACACACACACACACACACACACACACACACACACACTTCCACACAACACAGCTACATACATGCAGTGACACACACACACTTGGAAAAGGCAATACTCATTGACAAAAGTGTTAACTATCTCCTCTACCATGGACCTTCTGAAGAAGTCACAGACGTTTCTGCATAGCATAATTAGCATATTGTAATTAGCTAGAGGCTTAGGCAATTTTCCCAAGGCAAGCATACCAGGAATTTCAATGAAACAAAATTACCACTTTGGTGCCTATTATCATGACATTTTTTATGACTGTGCAATAAAACCTTAAACCAGCTGTTACTAAACTGGCGGCTTCTCTGGGCGAGTTTATAGGTGGAAACACAAGACAGTGGACTTCTAAACGAATTATTCATAAATTAAAACTTCAAGCTTTTCAGCGGTGGAAATAAGAGAAGGTATTTGCCTCCTAGCTCATCTGTGAGGCTCACCTTGGATTTGGCTGCCGGATAGGAAGTGAAATCAGCTGTGTTCATCTCACATGCACCCTGGAGGGCATGGCTGTCCCTGCCCAGCTTTGATCCGGTCCCCCCAGGCTCCTTAGTAAAGCAGTTAGTTCATCGCTCTACCTACCTGCCTGCATCCAGCCATTCACTCCTCCCACAGATCTCTCTCTTGCTTTCGGGAATTATCTCGTTTCAATTCTCATTCTGCTTTATAAACTTGTGTCCATAAATTCCTCCCTCAACGGTTCTGGATACAGTCAGCAAGGTGCTGGATAAAATTATCCGTCGACTCTCTTCTGTTGTTATTTTAGCCTTTCCAACTACACTGACTTGGACCTGGGGGCTAAGGACCATGAACGCTAAGGACCATGGCCATGTTCCCAAATGCACCCCCCAACCCTTGCTATCTCAGTGGGCTATTGTTGAGTTTGGTAGTCACGAGGACTGGTTTTTGGTTGTTTCCACCTGCCTGTGTGTAAATAACGCCAGTGAAGAAGACAGGGCTGGTTCCATTCTTATGCACAGAGCCAAGAATATCATGTGTAGCTAGACTTGTATAGAATCGGGACTAATGAGAAAAGCATCCCAAACCTTTTGCAAATGTTTTCATTCATTGCCATTGCTACTTCCACCATCAACACTCCTGGATGCTTGTTTGATGCTAGGAGCTGGTTACAGGAATTCATTGCTGCAATTCTTACCCGATGGGCTGCCGCTGCCCATTCACTGAGGCAGTAAATGTTACTCATAGTCTGTCCTGCCTTATAAGGTAGAGAAGCTGGCAGTTACATAGAATTTAGTTCTCTGTAGCCTTGCTCAAGGCTGCTAAGTGAGGGAGCTGGGTTGGGTTAGGAGAGTTAATGGAAACACACAACCCAAGGAGAGCCTCTTCCCAACCCTGTGAAAAGTGCTCAGCTAATGTTGTGGTTATAACATCTTTTCATGCACATTAATGTGAACTTGATACAAAGTAGCCATTTGTAAAAGAGGGTGGGTGCCTGAAAACCTCAGCTTCCTTCCTAATGCTAGGCTTTGAGCAAACAACAGAATCTCAGTTTTCTTCCACACTCTGTATCTGATAAAATGATACCTGGCTCTTTTGCCCCTAACGATATGTTGTAAAAACTATTCAGTGCTCTGAGTTCTAAGAGATGTGCTATATAAACCCAGGCCAGTGACATGGGAACTGACTTTTTAAAGTGCTTGTTTAGTCACTGCACAACTTATTTTCTTGCTATAAATCCTGTAATATAGCAATTATTATTATTTCTTTTTAATTTATTTTGTGTGTGTGTGTGTAAATATGCATGTGTGTATACATAACAGAGCTCATGTGGTTAGAGGACAAGTTGCAGTAGTGTGTGTGTGTGTGTGTGTGTGTGTGTGTGTGTACATAAACA